TAACCTTGCACTGATAATTTATATTCAAACTAGTACATTTATCAGTCATTGAGTATGTAGGTCATATTAAAAAAATCGTCACTCTAGTTATGAATGTGGAAGTCACTCATTTAACACTCACTAATTCATCTCTGTTTCTCCGTACTGGTAAGTCCTAGGAAACTAAAATTTGGTGCAAAGGTTTTTCTTAGGTCTTGGATGCGCACTAAGCAAAAATTTTCGAATATTTCAACTGGAGCGCCCCCCTGGGAGTAAAAGGTGCGCCCCCTGGGGATGAAAGGGGTGCATTTACATATGATAATTACCTTTTCATTATTGCTTCTCCGTACTGATTTTCGGAAGCTGAAATTTTGTATGTAGGTTCGTTTCATATTGTGGATGTATAGTCTATCCATTCCCAATTGGAACGGCAATAAAAATAAGAGTACAGTCATAAAATTTTTTTGCCTGTGGCCCCTAGTCGCGCAGATAGTAAACGTGCTATCAAATGTAGTTGAGGAGTAAAGGCTCGGCTAGCTGGACTGGCTAAATACTAATTTTTTGTCCGTTTCACAATATTTCTTCATCAGTGCCGTGTGTTCGTGGGGTTAGGTNGTTATAAAAGAAGAGAACAAATATTATGTGCAAAGTTCCATAAATCCGATCGTTATTCAACCCGATGATGATTCCACCTCATCCGAATATAGCGAAGAATAATTTTGATTTTTCTAGCAATTTTGTTGGTCTCTATTATTTTGTAAATATATGTTTGACGAGAATTCGGTGTGATTATTTGTGTTCATGGTATTTTAGAATTTTCTACTTTGAAATCAACCTTGAATTTCGAAGTTTTTCATAATTACCCATGGTGAAAAAATTCAGTTGAGATAACTTTTTCATGGGGTGATCAATTGCTATAATTGTATGAGAAAGTAACTGAAAATCTACCACTGAAAAATAATATGCCGACGCCTATGTCGAGGCGGGAATTCCTTCTCTATGCTGTTCCAATTGGTATTGGAAATACTATACAATAAGAGAGGATTTTTGAATATTCAAACTGGGGCGCCAGATGCGGGAAAAAAGACGCATCCATAAAACATATTTTATATCACTGTTCCAATATGCCCTTGAATTTCCGATGGGTGAAGAAGGTATAAAAATCTCACAATAATCTGTTACCTGAATACATTATGGCCAATTCATCACATATTTTGAGCATTGTTTTCATCACATTCAGTCGCATTTTCATTACAAAATGACGGTTTATGTTTCATAATATATTGTTTTGTTTTTAGTTCCACAGGAAATCCAGTTAGTGAAAAGGGAACACTTCAACAAATGGTACCGACTGAGCGCGTATTTTTCCGCCCTCACTGTATCCACAATACCCATTCAGTTGGTTTTGGGAACGATGTTTGTTGTGTCGGTGTATTTCATTACGGATCAACCTTTGGAGCTTGATAGGATGCTGATGTTTTACGTCATCTGCATGCTAACTGGAATAATTTCTGAAAGTCTTGGTTTGCTGATATCTGCTCAGTTGACAGTTGTGGTAAGTATTTGAATAACCACATTTAATAACACTTGAGCCAGTCAAGAATGAAGTAGTGTGTTTCGAAACGATCAATAACGGTCATCGTTGAATGCTAGATGTTAAAACTTTCATTGCTGAAAACTATCGATGGATTTGAAATCGAGTGAACGAGAAACGACAGAAAGAAAGAGAAAAATATATAGCAGTATGAAAATTATTAGAGAAGATGGAAAATATTTAATTTTTCACGTCAAACATGAATTAACATCGATTCGGGATATGAAACAATGTGAATTTTGGAGGTTAATGATTTTTTTTGTTATTTCTGCTGAAACTAGACCTTTTTCTGAAAAAAGTTGGATACAAAAGTTATAGAAATATTATACGTTCCCGAAGTACTAGAGGAAGGGGGGAGGTTCATAACATCAAACTTGCCTTGTAGTAATTCGTGTCTAAGCGGCCAATCTTTTCTGTTCCAATGCTCAGTTTTAGTTCTGCTGTTCCACAAGCAAATAAAACACGAATATTTTATATAACCGCTTTGTTGGCTCAAAAGGAAATTAACCACCTTCGAATCCACGCATATGAGCCAGTTGTGTTTGGTGTATTTGATTTTGTCTGAAACCAGAGATATCGTGGAATATTCTTCTTAAGCTTTGGTTGAGTGAGCAATAGGCAAAGAGCCAAGTTTATTGCCATTATGTAAAAGTACACATTTGAGACTGCGTTTTGACGAGTCTATAAATAAATGTCAATTATCAGGGTCGTATCTTTTCAATACCATTTCAGCTACTAGTCCTGGATTATTATTGCAAAAAACAAAATCGTCTTTTTTAGAGAACAATATGAACAGTTTCTTTTTCCTGGTATGGTAAAATGATACATTCATTTCTTTGTTGACCAAATTTCTTTCTTTCAATCGAGAAGCTAGAAGTTCTGATGAAGCTTTAGACAATCCGAGATCTCTTATTGAATCATTCAGATCCTCTTGGTTCAATGGTCTTGGTCTTTCGGCGTCTTCAAAGTCGCTACCATTATCTTCGCAGCTTGTGTCACTTTCCTCCATTTGTTGAACACTTTCGTGCAGACCTACCTGAGATGTACTTGGGTGGGGTACTAGTGTATCAGTTGTTTATGTTTACCAAGCAGAAATAACAGTCGTCGTGGTGATTCGAAGGTTCACGCCAAATTATAGGACTATTAAAGTTCAAGGGATCCCTCTTTTTATTTTTTCATAATCGTCAAGACTCCACACACGTTTTACACAGTAAATTCGGTATTCAGGGCTTGTTGTTTGTTTTCAATGGCTGTTGAAAAACTCCATGTAGGAATTTTTCACGGAGTCCGACACATTTAAACAGAATTTTTTGAATGTATATTTGCCACAAATGTGACAAAATCTATTTGGATTGTTTACACAGGTCACAGGACAAATTCATTAGAAAAAAAAACGGAACTAGTATTGCGTTGACAAAAGCAATATCAACAGTCAAATAGAGAGTACATTTTAAGGGGGACTTCAGACAGAATCTTTCAGGATTGACTCACTCCAAGGCGTTTATTCACCCTTAGAAGCTTGATACCAAACAGTTGTTGGACCACAGTAGGGATAAACTACTTAGGCCTTACAGGTCACTGTCATTTGAATCATTATATTCAGAGACTTGGATTGTCGGAAGACAGTGTGTGTCGCCTCTGTTTGGAAAATGATGAAATAGCAGAGCGCATACTTTGTGCATGCTCCGCTGAGCACTGAATCACGTTTTCAGAGTTTGGCAGAGCCGTATTCTTACCATCTGACCTAAAAGACCACTCACCATACAAACGAATCCGCTTCGTTAAGAAGCTGGGTTTATTTGGTCGAGTGTGAATAGGTGTGAGGTCGGATACACCCACTCACTTTGGACCTAATCTAACCTAACATTTTAAGGGGGTACCTGTATATCCTAATCTAGAGCTGCTAGAAAAAATCTGAAAGTAGATTTAAAATAAGCGAGCCTAAATTAGTAAACAACAGGTGAAAAATATCATGCAACAAAAAAATTATTTTGTTGTGCAGTGGCTCAAAAATTTCGCAGTCGTCGGTTGGGCCCGTGGCTGATGTGGATACATGATTGAAGTCGGAGCCACATATTGAAGGGATGTCTTCACACAGTAGTATAGAATAAAATTTCTGTTTGTTTATGCTAAAGGTATGATAATATTTCTTCTCAATGAAAAGTAAAATAATAAAAATTTTAAAACTACAAAAATTGCGATGCAAATAATGAAGCTGGAAAAGAAGTGGCTAAAATTGTACAGTAGGTTTTTATGAATCTTAATAGCGAGAAACAAGAACCATTTGAGAGAGTTCAAAAACTTCAGTTTTTCTTCTAGTTTGTGGTGCAGTTCATTGAAAAAAACAAAAATATATAAGGAATTTGCGTGAATCTGACAAATCAGATGGAAGGTTAAGGTTGTTATCATCTATGCCATTTCAGGCCTAGAAATGTTTTTCTCGGACTAATTTAAATTCGTAAGTTTATTGTTCTGGTTTCATATTTATGGTTGTTCTTAACTGTCCCATCAGTAAAAAATGTGTGCTTCCCAGTGTGACTTATTGTGAGGCTTATTCGGGTTATTATTTCAGAACGTTACTAGAATAGAGTTCTACTTTAAATGAATGGTAACAAATTGCACTTACATGGAACACTGTCATCCTCACTGGTAGACACCGATGTTTCGCCGTAAGACACTTCCTTCCTTCCTTTGGAAGATTCTCACATTTTTTATCTGAGTAGTAGAAAGTCAAAAACTTTCTTTTCCAAAAATTAATCACTCCAAAAAATATAACCCCTTCAATTCAAAATTTTGATAGTTCTGGATTTTTTTTTCGATGGTACTAAACGACCCGAACACGAATCAAAGTATCGGAGCAGTCAAAAACGGCCTGCGTCGACTTCATCGAATCCCTAGTACGCAATTTTTCTTCTGACGGAATTATTTGACTTTTGTTACGTTGGCAAAAGTGCACTGATTTAAATGGCGCGTATTTGTATTGAATAATTACTCACTAAGATATTACAGTTTGAAAGTAGACTCATATAAGAGAAAGTAAGAGTGTGAGAGAGTTGATATTTTCGATTCATTTGTTTATTACAAAATTTTATTTCTGGCCTGCAACAAATGTGTTTTCTCTATAACTATTTTGTCCATCTATATAGAAAAATGTTTACTTTGTTGTACCTAGAAGAAACTTCTATGCATGATCTACACATTTCTGTCAAGAACTTTTGTATTTATTTGGTTATCATACCTTGGAAATGAATTTTCTCAGAATTCACTGTTCTATGTGTGGCATCATCTACTTATAAGATTTTTCGCGAGTAGAAACTTCAAATAGTTTGTTTGATATTTTTCTCTGATAACGTCACTTGTCCATTGATGCAGAAAAAACAAAACTTGTTGATTTTTTGTTAATAATCGAACATTTTTTTCTTTTCAGTTATAGAAGTGTGTTGTTACGAGTACGGAGACTTTCAAGACCGAATGGTATCTGTGATAGACAATGGAAGAAATTCCTACAATGAACAAGCACGTGAAGCTGAACTACAAGTAGTTGAATTAGGTACTGGTACTAGTATATCTTCGATAAGGCCTGATGTGGATCTATCGGAAACTGGATCATCGAATTTCGAACACGAATCCGGCTGGATGAGACAGTTCAGTATTCTGATTATGAGAATGTGGTTGCAGATGTGGAGAGATAAGGTGAGATATACGTGTTTGTAGTTCTTCCTTTCTTTCTCTAATTTGAATCCTTTGTAAGTGAATAAAAAACAGTATCTGTGTGATATTCTTCATTTAGTTGTCCCCAGTCATTCGTTTCTATTTCTTTTTTCAATTTTCAGAACTACCTGCTACTTCGAACTGTACTGCACTTGGTGTTAGGTGTCTTTGTTGGTTTCATATACCTAGGAATGGGTCAAGATGGATCCAAAACCATATTCAACTTCGGATTCTATTTCTGCTGCCTTATCTTCTTCATGTATATACCTATGATGCCAATTTTACTACAATGTGAGTATGAATAGAAATCACTGTTTCAATTTTGTACCTTTTATATCAGTTGGAATATAATCACAAGTATCATTACGTTTCTAAACTTTGCGAGTAATGAAGTCAAGTCAAACCGAACTAACGACAAGAGAGGTTATGAAATTAGATTTAAACTTAACACCGTTCTGCATCGCGTACCAGATGTGTTACGTGGAAATATTTCAATCATAAAATTGAGTTTTCTGGTTACTTGGCAAAAACTGGCACTGTAATATATAAGACACTCATATCTCAATTTTAATACAGCTCGATCACTTTTTATTTAAAAATTCCTATGCAAACTACTACCCTCATTGGTTGACCTGTGTCAGTAAGTTCGTAGATAGAAGCGCAGTAAAAATTTATACTAGAAATATATTTCATTTACCGAAATATTAGTATGTTATTCTAAAATGTTGATCGAGAGAATAGTTATGATTTTTAATTGGCTTGTTTCATAAATGGAACATTCTGCAGTCTGATTTGAAATTTTCTGAATTTTTCAATTTTTCAGGATGGTATAAATTACGGATACTAATGTGTTCATTGGAAAAATAACAGAAATTCATTATTCCTGATTTTAATAAAAGTGAAAGACGAGACGGGAATAACAGCAACCAGAACTGTTATATTTTTTTGAGGAAGAGCAAATTGACAGAAATATTTACCTCTTTCTGAATTGAAAACGACATTGGAAGAAGTTCGAATTGCGTTCGAAATTGAAATGGAGGCCGGCCGTCTGATGCTCCATAACCTCAAATATTTTAAGAAACGGAAATTTCCATTCAATCAGAGTTTTATTCCAGAGATCATAAGAGTCCAGCTGAGTCATTTTTCCCAATGAAACAAAAAAAACAAGCGAACACTGTAACTGTTTTCAACTTCTACAATGTTATATAGGGCGAACGTAAATAGTACCCTCTGTTCTTTATTTTATAACGGGCAATATATCAGAGTCGGCCACATTTTTTCTAAAAAAGGAGTAATTTTTTTAGTACTTTCTGATGAGAAAGCCATCTACTACAACTTGCCACTGAAGTAGTATTTAAGTAGAAATGGGGTTTGGTGACATTTCGTATGAAATGTTTTTAAATTCTTTATAAAATGGCTTTTTTTTAGTTTCGATATCCGCTTGTGGAGATATCGATGTTTGAATTTCTCAACTCCGACACCCTTTGTCAAATTTTTTGAAATAAATGTTCATTGGGAAGAAATCTGAATCATCAACATCTGTCGCAATAGATAAGTGTTGATTCTGAGGGTATGAAACAAGAGCATTCTATTCATTAAAAAATTATTTGAGCAAATGTTCAAAATGTTTACTTTGCATCTCCTTCCTCTATTATTCCATGTTACGTAACATAAACTCTTGATTTGATATATCCCAAAGAAAAAAATAGAGAGGTTCCAAATGCGTTTAACGAGCAGGCCATTCCAACGAACCGCGCCTACCAATAAACATACCACTGTATGTCTGATCCAACCAATCCCTCACAGACCTAAAACGATGTGGGGGCGCACCATCTTGTTGAAAAACAACTAGATTTTTCAATTCATCGTGACAGAAGGAATGAGGTCCAAGTATTCGGTCGTTATTAATTCCAGCCAACACATTCAAACGAAATCAAACTTGTGGTCTAACTTTTCAGAAGTGTCGTGGATTATTTTCACTCCAAATGTGCTCATTATTTTTATTAAAAACACCGCAGTTCAAAAAAGTACTTTCGTCGGTCCAAACAATGTTTATCAAGAAGTTTGTAGGGTCTACCCTATTCGAGAGCCAGCTACAAAATTCTATCCTTCTCTCAGGATCACGTGGATATAATTTTGGTGAAAAATGTATCCTATGACATTTCATACCACTTTTCATGAGTTCCCTCCAAACGCTCGTCTATGGTATATCCATTTATGCCGAGACTTGATGCGTTGATTTGGTAGGATATGCATTTATCTAAAAATCACCAAAAATAATTATACCTCTTCGCATATGGAAAGAACAATTATTTTACCTCGGCTAATATGTTGTTTCATTGTTCCAAGACATATTGGTATCCTTTTCCACCCCCAACAAACTCATCGAAGGAAAAAGGGGAATTGTTTGACCTCCGGTTTGAAAACAAAACTTCAATATAACTTCATGACATGGTAATTGGGATAACCGATCCCTGGGTTTTTGTGACATTGAATTGAACATGGTTACTTCCACCCCAATTCGAAATTACTTCTCAATCCTCATTAAGATATTCAACCTCCTGCTGCTTCCGCAGCCAATGTCCTGGAATCCAAATGTAATGACGAGACAAGTGTGCTGTCGTCAGCCAAGCAATATATTGGATTCTTCGTTTTATCCAATAAGTCGTTGATATACAATAAAAAGAAGGTTGAAGACAATATGTATCCCTGAGGAGCACCAGCGTTGATGATGAAAGTTGAGATATCCATCGATGGCCACTTGCAGGGAATGTTCTTTCTGGAAGCTGAAGGAGTCATATACAAAAATCATTCGACAAGCCATAGCATTGAAGTTTGGCCAGTAAACCCTCATGCCACACACGGTTAAAGGCTGTAGAAAGATCAAGCGCAACTCTCCATGTTTCTCGATTGCGTTATTCAAAAATGCAAAATTATTTTAACGATACGTGAACATACGCTACTATATTTATTTATTTTCGATTAATTACGTTAAGTAGTATTTTCATGCTGGATTTTCATTTCATTGAGTTATCATAATTTTTTAAATACTGACGTACCTGCAGATGTTAATATAATTTTCTTGAATGTTTTCAGGCATATCAGGTCCTTCGAACCAGTTAACTGTATACTGTCCATTATCATTGCGACACAAACCATAATATAATGGGTCTAATTGAGATGGAATTTTTTCAAAAGAATAGGTCCACCTGTTTGATATATATGCTGTTGAAAAAACTAATCAAAACAGTTTATTGTATGATTTTTCACAATAAAAGGGTTTTACAAAAACCGCGACACGTGTTTCGGAATACAATAGCTTCCTCAAGCATGAACAGTTTATGAACAGTTTATGCTTGAGAAAGCTATTGTATAGCGAAACACGTGTCGCGATTTTTGTAAAATCCTTTCATAGTGAAAATCATACAATTAACTGCATTGATTACAGTGTATGAACTGTATGAACAGTTTATGCTTGAGAAGCTATTGTATAGCGAAACACGTGTCGCGATTTTTGTAAAATCCTTTCATAGTGAAAATCATACAATAAACTGCATTGATTACAGTTTATAAACTGTATGAACAGCATAAATAGTTTATGTTTGAGGAAGCTATTGTATAGCGAAACACGTATCGCGGTTTTTGTAAAACCCTTTTATAGTAAAAATCATACAATAAACTGTATTGATTAGT